ACATGACAGATTCTATCTCAGTCAATTCTTACAGGTGCCATCGTTAGGGTAATGTACGTAAATGTTTACAGGGCTTGTGTGATAGAACTGGGGAACCCTGTCCTTTACTGGGGTTTTGGAAAGGACTTTTTCAGGAGTCTCAGATGGGGCTGTCTGGCCCACCTGACTCCATTCAATGTGTCTTTCCACCACTGAAAGTGTGCAGGCAGACCTGTGGGGCCAGGGACGTAGGAAGCAAAGAAATAGGAAGCAAATAAATATTCTTGTTTTATTGTAAAGTACAGTTGGTAGATGGGCTGCATTGCTCATGGGAATATTGGGCCATTTTTGGATCTCTTGACTGGGGACGTCATTCTGTAGGTACTAGACAAAAGAGATGCAGCTTTGGCCGAGGCTGGGAGTGAGCTGGGATCCCATAGGACCCATCGGTTGACTCCAGGCTACTCATACGCTCTCCCATGTTTTTGTGCCTAGGCTACACCTGTAGCAAGTGGCTCAGTCTGTGGCTGAGCCCACAGCCTGCAAGTCTGCTGTCTGCTCCCACCAGCCACAGCTCAAGTCTTTTTTGTAGTTCTTTGTGTCTGGGCCCTTCTTCTCCAGGGGCACTGAGCACAACCCACTGAAGGCTTGGCTGCTTTTTGCTTTCTCTTTCCTGACAGCATCATGCAGGGCGCTGAGCCCACTGGATGGGGCCAGTCCCTTGTGCCCTGGCTGTCTGCATCTGCAGAGGCACCATGGGTGGGGCCTGTAGCTTCATGATGAAGCCACCAGGGTGTTAGGAATCAGGAAATGATGTGTCGCACCAAGTTACACGTCTTGAGTGAGCCAGCTGTGCACAACAGAAAAACAAAATTGTGTATTTCAGTGACAAGCTCAAACACTTTTCTTTTGAGATAGGTTCATGCCTTGAACTTTGATTCTCCTACCTTAGTCTTCCCAGTCTGGAATGATGGAGGTGTGCTTGCTTTGAAAACAGTCTTTAATGTAGTTTCTTTTCCCCTCACTTTGATATCCTGCCTTTTGTACTTTTGTTTCTCTGTAGCACTGGGAGTTGAACCCAGGTCCTGGCTCACCTTAGGCAAGTGCTTTCCCACTGAACTGTGTCCTCAGTTCTCATTTTATTTACTGTTTTGAAACACAGGCTCACTAAGTTTCTGAAGCTGACCTTAAACTCACTTTGTATCCGCAGAGTCCTCGTACACTTTTTATGTCAGCCTCCCAAGTGCTGGGGGGATAGATATGTGCTGCCAAAACCATTTCAAACACTTTAAAAGTAATTTTCTTTTCTTCACTTGGATATCTTTAAAATTTTTTAAAAAATATTTTATTTTTTAAATTTTATGTGTATGAGTGTATTGCCTGCATGTATGTAAGTGCACTCATGCATGCAGTGCCCGTGGAGGTCAGAAGAGGGCATTGAATCCCCTGGAACTGGAGTTATGGATGGTTCTTAGCCAGCCACCATGTGGGTGCTGAGAATTGAACCCAGGTCCTCAGTCAGTGCTCTTAACCACTGAGCCATCTCTCCAGCCCCCACTTTGATATCTTTAAAAAGCTCACGATTATTAAAAAAAAAAAAAAAAAAAAAAAAACAAGATTCTCAAGAACTAATTAAAATGAGGAGCTGGAGAGATGGCTCAGTGGTTATGAATAATTGCTGCATGTCCATAGGACCTGTTTGGTTCCCAGCACCCACATCAGGTAGCACACAACTGCCTTGCATCTCCAGCCGCAGAGGATCTGATGCCCTCTTCCGCCCCCTCAGATACCTACATACCCGTAATACACACACACACACAAACACACACACGCACACACAAATAACAAAACTTTAAAATTAGAACAGTATTGTTACTGCATAGATCAGTATTGTATTTGGATGGACTTCCTTTTACTTTGTTATTTATTATGGTTTATTATTTATAGTAAAGAGACCTCACTGTGTTGCTCAATCTGGCCTCAAACTGCACTCAAGCAATCCCCCTGCCTCAGCCTCCTGCATAGTCGGACAGTAATTGTGCATTGCCACACATGGGGCTTAGTGTTACATTTCATAACAAAACTTTGGAGCTATGCACTGGTCTAATTCTTATTCCTAAGAATTTTGGGTAGTATTTCTCCTTATGGTGGCAAGAAAGGCCCAAGGTGACATGATCAGCCTAATGTCATGGGGCAGATGGTCAGGGAACCTTTACAGCAGGTCACTGCACTGTCCCATCAATGGTGCTGATTCCAGAGGATGAAAAGTTTCATGTATTTGTGATGCAGTTGCTACCTCCCAAAAGGGCTTAAGATGGAGACAAAGCTCCTGTCAGACTCCAAGTCATTCTTCTCTTATGATTGGCAGGATGGCAGGCCACTGGTGAAGCTCTGGGAGGCTATAAAAGGGGAGGTACTTCCTTTAATAACTGTGGAAATGACCCTTTCTACCACTCCATGATTGTTTGGTTTTGGTTTTCTACGGGCTGCAGGCCACTGGAGTTTGAGGTGGGACTCAATCAGGACTGTCTTTTGCTCTCTGGGGCCATAACCTCACCCTGTGAGAAATTCAACCTGCAATGTTCTAGAGTAACCAGTCCAGTCCGATAACTGTGTAGTTCAAAGGCATTTTATTACCTTAAATATGCTGCTAGGGTTGAGGCTTGGAAGAGCCATCAAGTCTCATTGATGGCATGCCAGGTGCATTGGTTATCTCAAGTGTGTGTCTGTGTGTGTGTGTTGTGGAAATTGTTACTCAGGTACCACCCACCTTGTTTTCTTGTTTTGCTTTGTTTTTTTTTGTCTTTTTGAGACAGGGTCTCCCTGTAACCCCAGCTGGCCTGGAACTCACTATATAGACCAGGCTGACCTCAAATTCACAGAGATCCACCTGCTTCTGCCTCCCGAGTGCTGGGACTACAGGTGTGTGCCACCACTCGGGACTTTGTTTTGAGATCAGGTCTCTCACTGGCCTGGAGCTTGCCAAGTGGACAAGGCTGGCTGGCCAGCAAACCCCAGGGATTCCAGGATTCTCTCTACCTCCCCAGTGCTGGGATTATAAGCATGTGCCACTATGCCTACCTTTTTTGTGAGTTCTGGGGCTCAAACTCAGGTCTCTATGCTAACACACTTTACTAAGCTGTCTCCCCAGTCCCAGAAGAGAATCTTAAAATAAGAGGAATACGTGGCTGTAGAAAATCAGCATCACCTTTACCTTCGTTTTGTTTTGTGGGTTTTTTTTTTTTGTTTTGTTTTGTTTTTTTATTTTTGAGACAGGGTCTCCCTGTAGCCCCAGCTGGTGTGGAACTCACTATGTAGACCAGGCTGGCCTCGAACTCACAGAGATCCGTCTGCCTCTGCCTCCTGAGTACAAGTGCTGGGACTAAGGCCATGCGCCACCACACCCATTGTGTTTTGTTTTTAAACCATTTTAGACATTTTGAAACACATTTATTTTGAAAATCTAAAATTACATATACAATTTAATAAAAAAATTTGTGTAATAAGCATTCACATAAAATGTGGGCTTTTTTAAAACTTTTAAAAAAACTTTATTGAAAATTTCATACATGCATATAAGGTGTTTTGATCAAATCCACACCCACTCCCTCCCCTCCAACACCTCCCATATCTCTCCATCACTTTTTTCTGACAACTTCACGTACTCTTTCTTTAAAAATTTTATTTATTTTTATTATTTTTATTTTATGTGTATGAGTGTATTGCCTGCATGTATGTGAGTGCATCCGTGTCGTGTAATGCTGCGGAAGTCAGAAGAGGGCTTCAGATTCCCCTGGAACTGGAGTTAAGGACAGTTCGTAGCTGCCATGTGGGTGCTGAGAAGCAACCCAGGTCCTCTGCAAGAGCAGCCATTGCTCTTAACCGCTGAGCTATCTCTCATCTGAGCTTTTGACTACTCTTAGCATTCCCCCCTCTGAAGAGGTAACCCTAAAATCTTTTAAGGATTAGATACAAGCTCCCAAATACTTTTGTCATTTTTGGCCTTTGCAACAGAGTATGTTTCTAAGAGGCCTAAGGACATTTTGACTTCTAAAAGCCAAGAAACTGGCTATTTTTCTTTGGGGTCTTTTTACCCTAACTGCCTAGCCAATTCCTACCTCCTATTATCACACCATCATCTGAAGGGGTTACCCAAATTGCCAATAGGGAATCAGAATGCAGACTGCTCTCTCTGGCTTCTTCCATGCTGAACAGCGATGCAGGGTGAGGCAATTGGAGTACCCCTTCAGTGGGTCTATCTAAAAGACTCCCAAATTGCATAACTCTTATCTGTAGGGGAAAAGAAAGTCCTTGAATCCTGACTAGGAGACGTGAAGGAGAAGTAAAGGCAAGAGTAGTTAGCATTATAAGTTCTAGACAGGGAACTTGAAAAAAAGTCAGAATAGGGCAAATTTCAAATGTTCACACGAAAGTCCATTGGGATTTATTTGGGCCAACTGTATGGTCTTAAAAACCCAAAAGGAAAGTATAACCAAAGATTAAAGTGATCAGTATATTTCTTCAAGAGTTCAAGGGATTACAATTCCCAGATATTAGGCTTAAGTTCATATAAAATGTTATTTAGACAATTATTTCTCATGGATGATTTTGTTGCTAACCAGAAAGTGCTGCTTAGATGTAAGACTCCAAATCTTGGTCTCCAGTACTGTAGTGCCCACCTGTAGCTAAGGGAGAAAACCCGCTATTGTTCTAAAATGATGGATAAATTTGTTTTCTCCCTCTATCTAGAAGCCTTTGAGGGGGAACTGACACTGATTCTTACCACTCCAACAGCTATCAAAATACCTGAAAGCAAATCCTGGACCCATCACTCTCGAGTCCAGCCTTGGAAGACAAAAGAAAAAGGAGGAGGAACCCAACAGAGGGATGCTTTTGGAAGCTCTCGTCAAAATGTGGGCTTCTTAATAACAGAAACTGCCCCATACCTGGGTGTAAATGATGGTGACGTTTTGGTCTCTGCACATTGCGCCCCAACATGCCCTGTTTTTCTGTCATTGCAGGTGATTTTCAAAGCCAAGTCGAAATATTCTCCAGAATTACTCAAATATCGGTAAGTGCTCTAGAAGGCTGCTCTGTGAGGCAGATGGTGAAAGTGCTTATACATGAAGCCTGTTTTGCCAACGGGGATGTGTACCTGGCACCCTCTGTAAACACCCAAAATGGTCCTGCAGTGGTCCTGTTTGCCTAACACAGTGCTCTCTATTACTCATGAGGCCTGCATGTTGATAGGACTTGAAGGGTTCCTGTGGTTAAAATGTGTGTGTGTGTGTGTGTGTGTGTGTGTGTGTGTGTGTGTGTGTGTGTGGGAAAGAGAGAGAGAGAAGGTGAGAGGGAGACAGAGAGAGAGAGAGAGAGAGAGAGAGAGAGAGAGAAAGAGAGAGAAAGAGGTGGATCCCTGTGGAAAAGTGTGCGTGTGTATATAATGTGGATCCCTGTGGTTTTAAGTGTGTGTGTGTGTGTGTGTGTGTGTGTGTGTGTGTGTGTAATGTGTACATTTCCTCAAGGTTTGCCTTGCATTCTTTTTTGTTCTTTGTTTTGGGGAAAGGGTTTCATTATGTAGCCCTGGCTGGCCTAGAACTTACTATGTCGACCTGGCTGGCCTCGAACTCAGAGATTCACCTCCTTCCGAGTGCTGGGATTAAAGGCATGCAGTACCACACCCATCTGCCTTGCACTCTTGATCTTCCTCAATTCCCTGCTGTTATCACAGGTGTGCACCACCACACTTGCTGCAAACACTATATGAGATATGTGACTTTTTGGGCTGATACTGAGGCTCAGTTGTTAGAGTACTTGCCTAGCATTCATGAAGCCTTGGGTTCGATCCCCAGCACCAAATAAATCAGGTGGGATGGTTTGTGCCTGTGATCTAAAGCCTCTGGAGGTAAAGGCAGATACTGAGTCTGAGGCCAGCCTGGGCCACATGAGACCCTATCTTAAAAACAACAAACCAAAATAACAGTTTGAAACCTTTCCGTTATTAACAAGATCCCTATGTATAAGAGCCTGTTGCATTTTTTAACGATGGAGGAAGTAGCTGGGGATGAAACAGATGCATGCCATGTGTAGACCTCAGAGAGGCTCCTAAGATGTCCAGAGCTTCAGCAGAAGGAATCCTAGCAACCACATAAGCCACATGTGGCTATGTATATGCCTGTAACCCTAGGACTGTGGGGAGTTGAGACAGGATGATCACTTGGGCTTGCTGGCCATCAGCCTAGTTCCAGGTTCGATGAGAGACCGTGTCTCAGGGGTATAAAGTGAAGAGTGGCAGATACCCAATGCCATCTTCTGGCCTCTGTGTGCACATACCTGCACACTTGTGCACATATAATACACACACCAAAAAAAATCTTTATAGAAAGAGGAACTTACATGATTGGAACCCATTGATTCCCTCCAGTGGGCAGTGGCTCCTCTCTGGAGACCACCTGGTAGGTGTCAGCCGCCATCTTGAACACCTGATTCTCTCTCGGTGACTGACCAACCATACTGATCCCTCTGATCTCAAGCAAAAATGCTCCTTCCAGATGCTGGGTTGCCCAGTCCTGTCTGTCTCTTCTGTAATTTTGCAGGGAAGGGCTGTTTATCCTTTTTGTGATTTAGGTTGAAAATAAACAACTCCTGTGCAATGAACAAAATTCTATTTTTATAGCAACACTGCCTTTTTGTTCCGTTGTCCTGCCGTCCCCAGCACTTTCTACACCTACACATCTCAGCTTTTCCATCACAGCAGCAGCTACATAGGGAAAAAACAAGGTGTATAGGTATTATTCAAGTTATACAAACTCATTAAAAATAATATGGGCCAGCAAGATGGCTCTGTCAGCAAAGGCGTTTGTCACCAAGTCTGACGACCTGAGCTTGATCCCCAGAACCCATGTTGTAGAGAGAACTGACTCCCACAAGTTGTCCTCCATATGTGCACTGTGGTATGCATGCGTCCACACATAGACACACAAAAAATGAATAAAAATTATGGGCCTAGAGAGATGACTCAGCAGTTAAGAGCACTAGTTGCTCTTGTAGAAGACTTGGGTTCGAATCCCAGCACCCATATGGTGGCTAACAGCTGTCTGTAACTCCAGTTCCAGGGGATCCGACATCCTCTTCTGACATCTACAGCATTGCAAAACATGGGTGCCCTTATATACATGGAGGCAGCATACTCATACACATAAAATAAAAATAATGGCATTATTTTTTTTAAAAAATCAATTGCAACATACAGATAGAAGCTGTGTGATCACAGGCTAAAATCCCATCAGGATACGTGGGGCCAGCATTGTTTGTTGTTTTATAGTTTTTTAGGTTTTGGACTATTTGCTTTGACTTCTGTTTGAGCATTCTCTGACCCAAAAATTAGAAATCCAAAACGCTTCAAAATCTGAAGCTTTTTGAGGTATCATATTGGTGCCCAGAAATTTACAATTTCAGGGCTAGGGCGGGAACGGGGTGTAACTCAGTGGTAGAGTATTTGTCCAGGGTACACAAGGTCCAGGTTTGATCCCTAGAATTGAAAATGTTTTTAAGAGTTTCCAATTTTGAAAAACAAAAAAGAGTTTCCAATTTCAGAGCATCTCAGATTTAAAGTCCTCTACTGACCCCCTCTCTCAGTGCAGCGCCTCCCCAACCCCAGACATTATGTTTTTCCAGACAGAAATGAAGGTTCTATTGCATTTGAAATTTTGCATTCTGACCTCTTTTTTCCTTCTTTTGATATGGGAGGGATGGTTTGAGGCAGGGCTTCACTTAGCCGGGGCTATCTTGGACCTCATGGCGTAGTAGAAGTTAACATTGAACTTCTGATCCTTCCACCTCCAAATCCCCAGTGCTAAGATAATCAGCGTGTATCATGCTTAGATCATCAGTCCTGGCTTGTATTCTGACTGGTTTGTTGTATGTGTGTGTTATAGGCATATGCAGGCGTGTGGGTGTGTGTGCTCCTGCACTCGTGTGAAGGCCAGAGGAGGCTGTGAGCTGTCCTGCTCTGTCACTTCTCTCGTTACTTTGCTGTTGCTGTGATAAACACCCTGGCCATGACAGCTTATAGAAGGAAGGATTTATTTGACTTATGGTTCCAAAGGGATGAGTCCGTCATGGAGGGGAGGCCTGCGGCACAAGGGACCGGAGCAGAAAGCTGGATGCTCACATCTTCCAGCAGGTGCAGGAAACAGAAACAAACTGGAAATGGGACACAGCTGAGTCTCAAATCCACCCCCAGTGACACACTTCCTCCAGCAAGGCCACACCTCCTAAATCTCTGCAAACATTGCCGCCAACAGGGGCCAAGTTTTCACATACCCAGAGCCTATGGGGAACATTCCTCATTCAAACAACCAGTCACTGCATCTTATTCTCTGGAGACAAGGTCTCTTGCTGAACTTGGATTGAGGCTGGTGACCAGCAAGCCCAGCTCGTCCTTCTGTCTCTGCCTCCCATAGTGCTGGGGTTACAGGCACATGCACCCAGATCCAGCTCTACATGGTTCTGGGGATTTGAACTTGGGTCCTCATGCTTGCACAGCAAGTGCTCTTAACTTGCTGAGCCATCTCTCCAGGCCCGAATTCTAACTTTTAAACTTACATTAGATCATGCATATTTTTCTGAACTGTTTCATGTCTTTTATTCTGGCCCCTTTAAGATAACAAATTTGGACCTGAGTTCGATTCCCCGTAACCC